CAACGTCGCGCTCATTTTTCATCTTTGAGTTGCCTCGTAGTCCATGTCTTCTGTTATTTGCCTCCTCTTTAAAGGTATGGGGCCTCCATGTTTAGGGGATTTTTGGTTTTCGAGTAAGGGCAAGTTTCCTGCAAAACAAAGAAAACTTCAAGGCCTTGGAAAACACGATGGGGTGTGTTTTCCGATGGCTCTCCGACGCAAAAGTCATAAAACAGCTAAAAAGACCACCAAGTGGCTAATCGGAGAGCAGAAAGAAGTCGGAAAACGAATAGAGGGAAATTGGGCTGAGAGCCCTTGAGAGAGGTAGGATCTACTCGGGTCTTTGAATGAAAATAAGCTTTTTGCGGTGGAAATAGAAGAAAAGAAGAGTTTTTGGGTGAAGAATCTCCATGGTTTAGGATCCGCCATAGAGGGGAAATGAAGCGGAATGACCGGAAATGTGGTCGGAAAAGTATCGAGTGCCTGGACTTAAGAACCACAAGTATCTAGAGAGATCTCGTGAGACTTAAGATGGCTAAAGATGTGAACCTTCTTCCCATGGGAAAGGCAACGTATTCACAGAGATAACCTGACCCGGATTAGTATACCGGACCGATCCACGGATAGTGGGTCGGGTGGGTCAGCCCACGATCCGACTTGACTATGTTCGAATCTTGCGATGGTGTAAGGGTATGGGTAACTAAATCAAACTAAGAATATTTCTTTTCGAATGAAGGGAAATTTAAATAGTATTCCTGCCTAAAAGGTCTATCCATATCTGGTCCAGTTTCCTCGATACCGGGACCAGGCTGCCGAGAATGGATGACTTCACTCTCCGAGTACCTGTGTGGATCACACTTCTTTATATCCGGACCCTTCCGGATCACCGAGCTTAGGTCTAAGACATAGAGAATATGGCTTTTCCTCCTCTTGACCATTCAGTTTCCGACTTGGCTTTTTCTCCTCCTGACCATTCAGTTTCCGACTTCCTTGTTTCTAACAGTGTGGCCTGCACTGTCAGACACGAGGAGTTCGGGATAGGTGGCCTATCATACATGATATCTCAAATTTAAATGGACTCGATGCCCGGTGCTATAAGCTTAGGTCGTATTGGACTGGAGGCCCAATACTTATCCTAATTTAACCCAGAGATACCGTATCTGCAAAAAAATCATAAACAGCACATGCAAGCATGTGATTCATCAACGTATGAATAATTGAATTTATCCCAACACTTATCATTGGAGATACTCTTAGCATTTTTTGAAAAGTAAAAACTAAAGACCATAACCGCGTGCCCAAATTTTATTGGAGGCGAAAAGCAGTGTTTTAATGTCTTTATTAAGATCTATACTAAAGGAGTTGGATATTCAGTGTTACTTGATTAAATGTTCAAACTAATAAACGATTAATGTCTTTGTGTTACTCATGTTTGATAGATTAGATTTTCACAAATGCTTTTACTTAAGAGTTTGAATAAATCTAAAACCAATTTTACTCTTATAATTTCATAAGCATCCAAAATTTTAATGTCAATATTATCACCAAATATTTTAAATATATATTCTAAATTATAGATCATACTCTTGATTATCTCCACTAGCCCCTCCTCGAATCTATCGTCATCACTACTATATTACTTTCTTGTGCTCTGCTTGTACGAAATTTGTTTTTATGTAAAAAATTATTTTATACTGTTTCAGTATTTTGTGAATGTAATATTATTTTGACTTGTTAATATTATTTTGACTTTTTTATGTAAGAAATTATTTTATACTGTTTCAGTTTGTTTTACAAGCAATTGCCAACGAAAACCCTAACCCTAATCATTGGGGGAGGAATTGGTTGGGTGCACGCAACCTCATAGCAGCAATGTCTGTGTCCCGTCGTGTTGGATTGGGGAAGAAGTCGGCTACACCGTCAGTTTTGAGGATTGCAGCAGCTCCTGAACCGTGCTTAAGTACCTTACCGATAGTATGCTTCTAAGAGAAGCAATGGTGGATCTGCTCTTGGAGAGACACAAAGCGATTGTTCTAGACGAGGCGCATGAAAGAAGTCTAGCCACGGATTTGCTCTTTGGTCTTCTTAAACAAGTCGTGATCAAAAGACCTGATCTGAAGTTGATTGTGATGAGTGCAACCCCAGAGACCGACAAGTTTCAAGAGTATTTTAGCGGTGCGCCTCTGCTTAAAGTTCCGGCTAGGCTTCATCCAGTGGAATTCTGGTATACTCTAGAACCTGAGATGGAGTATGTTGAGGCTGCTATAAGCACTATTATCAAGATTCACAAGCGTGAGCCACCTGGTGATGTTCTTGTTTTCTTAACTGGGGAAATGAGATTGAAGATTCTTGCAGCAGAATCGCCGGTGAACTAGGTGAGGAAGTCAAAGTTGTGCCATTGTATTCCACTCTCCCTCCTGCTCTGCAACAGAAGCTATTCGATCCTTCTCCAGATCATGTTAGGAAGATTTTTATCTCCACAGATATTGCAAAGACTTCTTTAACCATCGACGGGGTCATTGATGTAATTGATCCTGGTTTCTCCAAGCAAAAGATGTACCACCCACGAACTCGTGTCGAGTCCTTGTTAGTGTCCCCAATATCAAAGGCAAGTGCTGACCAGAGAGCAGGTTGTGCCGGTAGAACACAGCCTGGAAAATGTTTCAGGCTTTACACAGAGGAAAGTTTAACAAAGATATGCAATGTCAGACGTCTCCTGAGATATTTAGATCAAACCTTGCAAAGACGGTTCTGACCTTGAAAAAACTTGGTGTGAATGATTTGTAATGGTTTGATTTTTTGGATCCTCCTCCTCCTGATACCCTCATTCAGGCCTTGGAAGATTTGTTTCATTTGGGAGCAGTGGATGATGAAGGTAACTTGACAAAGACAGGGGAGATAATGAGTGAGTTCCCTTTGGAGCCACAGATGGCAAAGATGCTCATAGCCAGTCCTGAATTCAACTGCTACAACGAGATTCTTTCCATTTACGCGATGCTATCAGTGCCAAATTGTTTTATCAAACCAATAGGAGAAACTGAAAAAGCAGCAACAGATGAAGCCAAATATAGGTTTGCTCACATTGACGGAGATCACATCACACTCTTGAATGTGTTCCATGTTTTTCTGGAAAACAACCAAGACCCTGATTGGTGCTACACAAACTTCATCAACTACAGGGAAATGAAATCTGCTGTTAGTGTTAGACAGCAGCTGGTCCGGATCATGATGAGGTTTCAGATGAAGTTGTGCAGTACTGAGTTCAACAGCTGTGACTACTATATAAACATAAGAAAGTCCTTGCTTGCTGGTTATTTCATGCAAGTGGCTCACCTAGAACGCACTGGCCACTATGCAACTGTTAAAGATAACAACTTATTGGTTCACTTGGATCCTTCCAACTGCTTGGATCACAAACCAGAGTGGGTAATTTACAATGAATATGTTTTAAAGAGCCTTATTTTCATCCAAACTGTTACATATATCTGCGGTGAATGGCTACTAGATGTGGCACCACAATACTATAATCTTGCCAATTTCCCCAACTCTGAGGCCAAACGAGTCCTGCAAAAGTGTTATAAGAAGACAAAGTGTATAAATTATCTAACGAGATTGTTTTTTTCTAATTACATTAATTTTTAGATTTACCTCATTGCTTTCTTGTTAATTAATAGCTGGATAGCTGATTCGTTCAAAGATCCAACAGCCTTCAAAATCAAGCAAATAGCCAACAATTATCACACTTATAATTGCAACAAAGTAGTACTTGTATTTCTGACCAAAAAAGACGAATAGTACTTATAGGATCTTGAAGACAATTCAAATGACCATTGTGAGATTATGTTTGTTTCTAAGACCTATTATAACCATGAATTAATCGAACTAGCCTACTTCGTATAATACCAATCTATATATGGAGATTGAGGATGATAATCACACAAACAAATTAATCCAAAAGAGAGCAAGTGATGTACCTGAAGAAATAAAAGAACAATAAATTCACTATTCAAAGCAGCCAGAAATTTGAAACCGGATCTCTACTATTAATGCAGAGATCCTGAAGGAAGAGACTACAAAACAACAACAAAAAATAAACCATGGATCATTAGCCAAACACACTATACTAAATAAGCATCGACTGAAACAACTTAAATTTGTATCCCTCTCTTAAACAAAACATGTACTCTAAACATTAGACTTAAGTAAATGGAGAATAATGCCCCCTTCTCTTTCTAGCATCATCCTAATTACTCAGCCAATATATGGTAGTCCTGCAGAGACCCTAAAGGTGACCATTGAGTTTAAGTTGGCTCTTTTACTAAATTCAAGTACTGGAACTGTCTTTCTTAATTTCGAAGTAGGTTTTATAGTCAAGAACCCTAACAATCTTTGAGATTTGTTGTAGAGATCCGTAACTTACTTCACTAGACATCAAGGTGAAAAAAGAAACAGAGCAATGTCATGCTTACTGGAATTTCTTGAGAGTTGAGTTAGCCCGTCGTTTTCTAAAGAAACTTTCTTTCTCTAGACCTGAGCAACATCCACATCATTTTCTTTAACCCAATCAAGCACTGATCCACAAGATACAACAGAGAACTAAACATGACGTCTTCCCTTCCACTGTTCTGAAAGCTTTTGCTCCTCCAAGGTGGTTAAGATATTACATACATTAACAGAGAGAGAAAATGTTGACGCTAAACTCCAAAAGCTGAAGGAGAAGATGGGAAGCGGATCAACTCTAGAAATCAAAGATGACACTGGCAGCTCTTAGCCAAGAAGTGATTCAGATTGGTCAGTCTCCATACAACCAACCCAACCAGGGAGAGGCGAAGCTGCCTCTTTTAACTAATCATACTCAACCAAAAGAGGAGACAAAATGCTGATATCAACGACGCTCGACTAAATAATACAAATAGGAATCACACAACTATTATTCATGGGGTTTATCCATGATTTTGTAGGATTGAAAATGTGATTCATGGGCAGTAAATGAAATGGTAAGAGTCAAATCTTGTCTTCAAACACATAAGTGAAGTCATGTTCTGGAGCAAAACTTCTCCTCAGATTTACAAAACATGTACAATAAACCAAACCTCTTGCTGCTTTCATAAAGTAATAGACATTCATTCATTCTCCTTCAGCAAATCATGAGCCATGTTTCGATACCTACAGAGTTGAAACTGTACAAAACACAAGACCGAATATATACACACAAATGGCTCCAAAATGTTACGCATCAATATCAGAGACGAAGTCCGTGATTCCTAGGACTTTGAGGAACACTACTTGCTCTTCCCCAGTACCTACGTTCCTCATTGCACCCGCACTTTCCATTACCACCACCAGAGTTATGCGCCTGACCCGGTGGATCCCATCCTGTCCCTCTAGGGAGATCTAATGGTGTTGGTGGTGGTGGTCGAAGCCTACAAGTCAAGTAGTTAGGTTGCTGAAAGTAACCATTATGGTAGTGATAGTTTTGTGGCTGCTGCAACTGTTGTGAAATGTTTGGACTGCTCTGTACTTTATGCATTGGATAAAGCCGGCTCAATTGGTAGCTACCAATCTCAGGCTGTTGCTCGTGACTGCATCCATCTGGTGATGATTCTGATTTGGGAGATGAGCAAGCAGAGACGGTGAAAGAAGGTCGTGTATTGATCGGAGCGCGAAGATGAGGAAGAATAGGACTTTTTATTGTGGGTGTACGGAGAATGCCATTGATTGCTTCGATGTATCGTTGCTCAATCGTTTGTGGCTCGATTGGACCTAATTGATTCTCGAGAACCATTGGGTTTGCTGGGAACAAGAACGTTCTGAGTTTCGGAGTCTCGTGACGGTTGTATTCTTCCATCATGTGTTTCAGATCTTCGTCGGACTTTACGGAGACTAACGCGTCGAGATCTTCTGGGATGATTTGGTATTTGAGGATGTTGTTGTTCTCTGTGATTTCCGTTAGTTTCTTCATGAGTTCTGAGAATTTGACAAACCAAAAAGTTTGATGATGAAAAAGAAAGAAGAACAAGATTTACATCAGTTTGACGAAGAAGAGTTTAGGTTAGTTTTTACCGGAGAAGGAGATGTCAGGAGATACGGCGATGACGCGAGTCTCGCCACCAACGTATTTAAGAACGCCATCGGAAGGTCTTGGGAGGATTTTGCCGCCAAAACTGCACATGAACTTCACTTTACTCGTCGGCGATCTCTCTCCGATCGACATTTTGCCGCCAAAACTTGCAGGATTTTTTAGGTTTTGTAAGATTAAAATTAGAAGTTTTTTTTTGAAAAAATAAAGGATCGAATGCAAATTGAAACCCCCGATTAATAGGAAATTAAGTGATTCTCTAGCCTCTTCCTTCTTCGGATAAATTAAAGATTTTAGGAGATGTTGAGATTAATATAAAAATGTTTTGATGAAGAAGAAAGAGGAAGAAGAAGAAGAAGAAAAGAGGTTGATCAAATTGAAATTCGGGATCAGGAATTTTCTGAGTTCTCTACAATGGAAAAAAAAAATGAGAAAAGGACAAAAAGGTATAAAAAGCAAGAAAATAGGAAGCAGGAGATTTCCATGCCGTGGGATTTATTTGGCTTAATTTTGAGATTGTTAGATTTTTTTCTTTCTATTTATGGAATTTCTTGATAAGGAACCATAATATGTACGCGAGTTCTTTTTTGATTTTTTTTTTTGGTTCGTGTAGTTTGATTTGGGAAAGTTCTACCAATAGTAACCGACTTAAACTATGATTTTGCTCAGTTTGGATATCAGGTAGTTTGGGTTTTGACAATATTTCTAATGAACTGAACCGAAATTTTGTTATTTTTAGGGATAAATTCTGTCAAAATCGTATGAATTCGGATCAATTCGATTAGTTTGATTCTTCGGTTTCGAATTGTGAATATAGTTTGAATATATTTTGATATAACTATGTATAATTCGTATATGTCGGATAGAAATAATTAGAAAAAACAGCAGTTAGTGATCAGCTCAGATGAACAAACTAAATAGAAATGTAATTTATTTTATAATTGTGCCGATCAGTTAACTTACGTAACCAATCAAGACAAAACCAAAAACTGAAAACTTTGGTTCGGTTCGAAAACTTTGGTTGAAGTAAAAGTTCCTTAGTTGATCTGCTGTTTGGATTTCTAACTTGTGGCTGCAAATCTCGTCGGAGCAATGTAATGAGTTCTGCAAGAGTTTCAACTTCAATAATTCGGCTGTTGGATGTTCTGCTCCATTTAATCCTTCTATTTGCAGAAGCTTCTCTTTCTAGAAGTGTTTTGTTATTCTGATTATGTTTTGTTTCCGATTACTCTTACTTGCTTTAGTTTATCTTATGTTTATGTTATAACTCCCTAAAATATTCATAGTTTGCTTGATAATCACTTTTATTTTAACTTTTACTGTAGATTTTTGGCTTTAAAAACTTTTACTGTAAAAACTGTAGAAATTAACAGTTATGTTTTAAATTACAAATAATTTTTTATTAGTCAAACATATAATTTCTACCAGATTTAAATCTTGTTGATAACATTAATAATTTTTTTTAAAATACTTATATTAGCATATGTAATCAATACAAAAATAATTAAAAAAATATAACATAATTGAAATTTTTTTTAGAAAAATGGGTCTAAAAAACTGAAAAAAATAAAATTTATAATTACTTATATATAAATGTATAAAATCTTTTTGAATGATTCTGGGGAAGAAGAAATAGAAAAAGAAATTAAATGTATTATTTTATAAATATTTTTTGTGTAAAACCTTGTCTTACGTACAGTAAACTTCTATAAATTAATATTCGATAAATTAATAATCACTATAAATTTGTAAATTTTTCTGGTCCCGAATCAGACCAGTGTAAAAATTTATCAAATTTTATAAGATAATAAGATAATAATTTATTTAGAAATTCCTATGTAAATATATGGTCCCAACATAACTATAAATTATTAATTGTATAAATAAGATATAATATACTAAAATTTGATTAATGTGTTGTTTTTTTATTTATAAGTTTGAAATTTTATTAAAAACATCTCTTTAGTAATTTACATTAATAGCTTTTAATGTTATTTTTCTTTATTTTTATTCAAAATTTGTGAAAAAAAACTTAGATTTGGTAATTGATACAAGCACAGAGCTGTCAATGGCTTATATGACTTCGGATAAACAGATCTTCAAGCAGCGGATTGATAGAACAATGATGGTGGATCGAAGAACGCCACTCAAAGGTGTGAAAGCCCTTTTGATGAGTTCACAAACCTAGTCTCAAAGAATCTCACACAAGAGACATAGATTTAATGTTTACTAAGTAAAGGAATCTCACATAACTTAGATAAACAAAAACAAAGCCTAAGCTTTAGAGAGAAAGCTCTTTCTTTCTATTTTTCCAAAAATCTGTATATATATTTTTACAATGACAAGTGATGAGCTTTTATAAGCTCATTTACAAGACCTTCAAGGTCAAAGAAATGAATTACAAGAGAAAATTATGCACAATAAAAAAGATGAGAAAAATCAGCTAAATTAAACATATAGTCTTCTTCCACCAATTTGGCCATCAAATTTTAATGGAGATTAATTCTTTGTATCTAGACAACTTCTTGATATATCCATGATATGATTTTCTTCTAGAAACTTCTTGAGATTCTGGGCTTGATTTAAATTGGATCATTTGTTGATAGACCAAAGATGTGATTGGTTTTATCATGGTTGCATCATTCTCTCCTTCTTCAAAATGTTTTGTCCTCAAAACCGTTTCAACTTGGTGATGTTGTAGCCTTGGTTTTGACATTTTTTTTTGGAATTAAGAAAACAGAGTGAAATAATTATAACAAAACTTTTTTTTTGAAGGATGAAAATAATTTAAAAATAACAGAAACTTTTTGTTTTTTTTAGGATAATTTAAAAATAGTTGAAAAAATTACTTTTGTTTTTTTTGAATTTAGAAAAACGAAACAAAGTGAAAACAATTTCTTTTGGAATTTTTATGATTTTTTTTGAAACAAAATAAATAAATAAACTGCAAATTTCTCTTTTTTAAAAATTTTCAAATGAAAAAAAATATTCAGAAAACAAAACAAAACAATTTTGTGGATTTAGTTTTTTTTTTTAATAAAACAAAAGAAAATAAAAATAATAGAGGTTGGAAGAACACCAAAAATGATACAAGCACCAAGCTGTCAAGGGCTTATATGATTCAGATGAACAAATCTTTAAACCTCTGATTGATAGATAAATCAGATTGGATGGATACAACCTGATGGATAGGAGCTTTTAGAGCATCTCCAAGAGACACTGTATTTTTAAGGTGTGAAAAACCTTATATTTGAGGTTTGAAGGTGATGCTCTCTAATGATAAACCTTAAAATGATATCTTAAAAATATTATACTTTACACTTTAGTCCTTACTATTTATAATTAATTAACTAATATCATAAAACTTTGATAAATTACTATAAAAATACATCTTAAAAATATTATAGGCAATATTAATTAATACAACTTAAATATAATAGTACATATTAATGATAATAAAATACACAAACTAAATCATAAATTACAAACAAAATTTATATGTTCATGTAAGTTTATTTTTGTGTTATTTTAATTTATATGAAATTTGCTTTATATAATATTGTTGTTATGTATTTATTTTTTAATGTTATGTATTATATTACTATTTGTCATTATTATTTTTATTTTAAATTATCTTTTAAAATTTTATATGTATATATATAATTTATTTCTAAAAATAAAAATAAAATATTAATAAGATATTAAATTAGGAGAGTTGAAATAATAAAAACAAAAGTTATTATGATTAATTTTAAAGCATATAACTGAAAGGACTGAAATGCAAATAAAAAAGATGACACCTTAAACTTGAGGTATTGAACAGTGATACCTCAAATATAAGGTGTCACTGTTCAATACCTCAAAATTTGAGGTTTTAAGGTATCTCTTGGAGGACATGAAACCTTATATTTGAAGTTATAAGGTATCTCTTGGAGATGCTCTTAGCTCTGATACCAAAATGATACAAGCACAGAGCTGTCAATGGCTTATATGACTTCGGATAAACAGATCTTCAAGCAGCGGATTGATAGAACAATGATGGTGGATCGAAGAACGCCACTCAAGGGTGTGAAAGCCCTTGTGATGAGTTCACAAACCTAGTCTCAAGGAATCTCACACAAGAGACATAGATTTAATGTTTACTAAGTAAAGGAATCTCACCTAACTTAAATAAACAAAAACAAAGCCTAAGCTTCAGAGAGAAAACTCTTTCTTTCTATTTTTCCAAAAATCTGTATATACATTTTACAATGATAAGTGATGAGCTTTTATAGGCTCATTTACAAGACCTTCAAGGTCAAAGAAATGAATTACAAGAGAAAATTATGCACAGTAAAAAAGATGAGAAAAATCAGCTAAATTAAACATATAGTCTTCTTCCACCAATTTGGCCATCAAATTTTAATGGAGATTAATTCTTTGTATCTAGACAACTTCTTGATATATCCATGATATGATTTTCTTCTAGAAACTTCTTGAGATTCTGGGCTTGATTTAAATTGGATCATTTGTTGATAGACCAAAGATGTGATTGGTTTTATCATGGTTGCATCAGTAATTGATTTTTTTACTCCAATATATTATGGTATTGTTCTTAATTTCAGCACTAACATTAAGGATAGTAATCATAACTTTTTATAAATTTTTTACTAATGAACAATTATATTCTTACATAGATAATTCAGTCCACAATTAACAAAATAGAAACAACTATTCTATTGCGATTGCTATGATTAGTAGTCATAATTTTAAGTGTGTGCATGTCATTTATAAACATATGAGTTTAGATTCTTAAAAATAATATTATTTGAAAAAAAATTAAAAAAGTAGATGGATGGAAAACAATTTTCCTTTATAAATTAATAATTGTTGATTTATAAATAAATTAATATCACGATAAATTAATAAAATATTAGAGGTTTTACTGTAGCTTTTAGAATCTATGACTAAAAAGAAAAAAGTTTGACTTAGGACTTTAAAATAAAAAAAAAGTCTATATAGCCAAAAAAAACTTTTAAAACTGTAAAATCAGTTCTATAATCCCCACAGTATACGCCAAACAACTTCATAATCTGCCGGCGTTTGGTTCTGGGGAATATGTTTATTCTACCAGCTTATGTTTCTGAAAAGGTTTTTTTATCTCCGTTGGCGTGTCTAAATCATCTAAGTCTTTGTATCTGTTTCAGTTATGAATAAAAAATTTAAGATGACACAAAAAAAAAAAAGTAAAAGTTCAATAGCTCATAAAATATTGTGACTTGTCGTCGCAGTCCTGTGGCTGGTGCACTAGTCCCGTGAGGAAGGTTTAGAAGCAAGAAAATAGGAGCATGAGTAATTTTCATGCCGTGGGATTTGGCTTACTCGAGATTGTT